TTATATACTATATTATACCTCTTTAAAACCTATTGAAACTAATTTCTTAATCCAAGATACGATTTCAGAGTTCGTCTCTATGGTAGTTGAACCTTTTGCTGAAATTGTGACCTCCGTAAATTCGTTTTTAATGATTCCAAAACTTGTCCTTCAAAATTAATTACGCCCTTTACTACTCCACGATACTATACCTTACCTTACCTTACTTTAAGTTTGCTTTGGATCTTTGAACTTTACTCTGTGGGCATAAATCTTAGCTAGGCTCAGCTGAGCTGGCTAATTACACTGGCAATCTTTTAATTATGGTCCAAACTATTTCGGAAAATGAGACACAAGCGACCCACAAAAGGTTTGTGAGTTTTCTACTCCAAGGGGGTCTCCTCCACTCATTACTCACTAGCAGCGGTTCTTGTCACTAATCACACAATGCTAAAGAACAAAACTTTTATACTAAAAAACGAAAACAGAGACAAATGCTTAAAAAAAAAACATCAACAAATGTAACTGGGTCAAGTTGTAAGTTGTAGCCGCTGTAGTTGCCGACGAAAAATACAAAATAATTGTGGAAAATCTCAAGATCTTTTTATCTGCGGTTTTATTTTGTTGTCTTTCGGTTTTTGTTTGTTTTTGTTTCGTTTAATGCCCTGGCGGTTTGTTGTTGGCCTGGCCTGGAGTGTCGATCTGGGAAACTGGGCCGAGTTTCAATTAAGTTTTCAGCCTGGAGCCCGGCTTCACACCCCCATCAACTCTCAGTTGTACACCTTACGCACTTGAGAACCCCGGAGAAAGGGCTCTTCAGAGTCTGAGAACCCAAGAATGAGAATGAGAATGAGAATAAGAAGGTCCAATTAGAGTGTATTAGGCAATTAGAGGTAATCAGACTTTCTGGTAATTATCATTAGAAAATTATTGTAATTAATTGAAGCAGACAGAGTGTGTTTTCAGTGCTGTTTCCGCTTTTGAAAATGATGATTACCGTAGACTACTTCCATTAGATCGTTCTTTGGATTTATAAATTTTAATTATTTTCTCTACGGCTCTGCAATTATCTGACGTCGGTGGAAAATTTCGAAAGGTGATTTTTTCGTGTGACTTTTGCGCGATTGACATCCAACTGGACGGGAGTCAATAAAAATTATTTCGCGAAAGTTGTCGCACAATATAGCGGTTGGCCTCCTCTTCATTTTCATTAAGTTGTATTTTTAAGTTTTATTTTCTCCGACTTTTTATTAGATTGTAATGTTTATGCTGTCACTGTGCTGTGCAGCAGCAGCTTCAGCTTCGAGTCGCCACTCGCCGCCACATTTCGCAGCCATAATTCAACTAATTAAATGCACATGAAAAATTCAACACTCGAAAAGGCAAACTTGACAAATCGTACCAACTCCGATCAAGTTAAAACTATAGGAGATAGCGGGGTATGGAGTTGAAATGCCAAAGCCAAAAACTTTGGATGAAACGCACTGGAAAATATTTCAAAAATTGAAATGCACGTCAAATGGAATTACTGAATTTTTCATCAACTTCGAGAGTCGAGTTTGGTGTTTGGAAGGTGATTGGAAATAGTTTTGATTCGTCATGGGAACACTCTGGAGATTCAAGAGGTCAATACTACAGGTGATTTATGATTTTAAAAAGTTTTCCATTAACTGTATTTTATGCAGAAATATAAATAAATACCAAATGACATTTATCAAATCCCTGTTAGCCCCAACAGGGATTTCTTATATGATGGTTTTAATGCAGGGCCTAAGTTTTTTCCAAACTACCTTTCCCAATTATGGTACCCGATTATGGCCAAATCTCTGGATCTCCGTAGGGCCACTTAATGGAATTAACAAGATTAACTATGGTCGGGTTCATATGTTTTATCCAATGCTTGTTAAAGACTCGCCGAGAAATGATTTTCCCAATCAATTAGCTCTGACCTCCAGCTGCCCTTGGGCCTTTTATCGGACCTGCGCACTCGCCGCGGGAGGTTTCCCTTTCTTTATTATCCCCACCACCACCATTTTGCCTATCATTGGACCACGATCCACGATATTGCCCTAGGTTTGGGCTACCGTTCCAAGTGGCCAAAAACCCAAAAAAAAAAAACCAAAGACCGATCCAAACGTCAGCCAGTTGGGCGCAACTTTCACTAATTTTCAATGCGAGCAAACTTGATTTGTAAATTGCGGCAACAGGACGCACTCCGATTAATATTTCTCACTCATTCTCAGAGGTAGACCCACCTGGGTCTCAGACAGACCCCACCTCGCCCAATCAGCCTGACAATTTTCCACTTCATTTTCCGCACTAATTGGAATGGACACACGGGAGTTCGCACGCCAGATTATGTTTTACAATCTTCCTAGTGGTATGGGGCCTTAATTGATCCTAATTTGAAATGGATATATATTTAGGGTTTATTTATAGGATGAGTTACAAGATCCATTTGTAAATCAATACATAATAATAATAATAACCTTTAAGAAAAACCATTTTTACGAAAGTAAACCCCTAATTTTTGGCCCAGAAAATACGATGGGGTAATTAAAACGGTTATATCCCCTGAAAGCCCCGACTGGCAACTTCCTTTTTAGCCTTCCGCTATAGTTTATCGCTTTATTATGACACGCAAATGGCAAAATTAGCAAAAATATTTGAACAGAGTAGAGTCGGGAGTTGGGAGTCGGGGGTCTCTCTGATGTTATAATTATAATATAAAATGCAGCCGGCCCCGCTGTAAACATAACCCCATAATAGACTTGTTTTTTTTGCGCCCCATCGCATTTGCAATGTTGGCCAAATCTCTTGGCGTATTATTTTTATTTAATTACCGCTGCTGTTTCTGTGGCTGAAGTTGCTTTGGTGGCTGCTGCATTAATTGGCTTGTTTTGCTTAATAATGATTATTGGTTTTTATGACTCTTTGATTATGCGATGATGCATCGAAAAAATAGACTCGGTGCTCGGTGCTCGGTGTTTGGTGCTCCAAGCTACTAGTAGCTACGAGCTCAAAGCGGGAAAGTCTCGTCTTGTTTTTCCACCGGCTCTTGGCGAGGTGTTGAGCATTTTGTTGAAGTTGATGGCCTGTCAGTCAGTCAGGCAACTCAACTGCCGGACAGACACTGTCCGTGTGTCCGTCCCAGTGCCGGCCTCTTTCTGATTTCATTTCTGTTTCTTCTATGCCGTGTCTGGCTGGCAGTGCTGCTGCTGTCTTAATTATGTAATGTGCGCATTTGAAGACAATTTAAATGGCCGGCAGTTGTGGAAAAACAAACACGAACTTCGGTGGCCCAGAAACGCCAGGAAGACGTTCAGAAATTAACCAAATGTCGACCACTTTATTGCTCTGGAAGTGAATCGTAAATCAATTCATTGGACTTCAGTATTAATTATCTTATTTTTAAAGAGGAAGTAATGAGGCAGCTATTAGTACAATAGGATAATGATTTTTACGAGATATTTTAAAGATATAATATATTTTTAACCGCTTTCAGAGTGCTTATAGTGCCGCATGGGGCACACATATAGGGTACAGGGTATGCCCCATAATTATATGCACTTGATCTGCAGAGGCAGAAAATGTGCAACTGGAGTGGAGTGGACAGCCAAGTGGACAGCGAATTATGATGAATGGTTATGCAATGCGGTCTCCAAGCGGACTCATCGATCGGCGGAGAGGTGGAAAAACCGTTGCCAGTTGCAACTCCTTGGCGTAGCTCTTGACCCCATTTTTGTGGCATGGCATGGCATGGCATAGCATGGCATGGCAAATGAAAAGCCAAAAATCCGAAAATACTACATCTTGAAACGCTTCAGAAACTTTTGGGACGCCCCCGAAACCGAAACTTGCGTTGCATTTTTAATTGCTCAGTGATTAAGCGGCAATTACATAAAATTAAAAACCAAACTTGATTTCAAATTAAATGATTACGGCAGCGACTCAGAAGACGACGCACCACAGAAGAAGAGACCACTGAGCATGCGAAGAAAGTGAAAAGCCAGAAGAAGAGCCGCAGAAGAAAGCTAAAGAAGAAGCAAACAAAAATAAAAACGATTAGTTACATTCGCTTAACAAAATGTTGAATAATTACTTATAATTATGATAATTCCAACTAAACACTTGTGCGGGCGGTTGCATCAGCCCAATTTGCACCACTAACCCACACTCTACGGTGGGTGCATCGCATCGAATCGCACCACTTTAGCACGCAAGCGGCTCCACACTCGGCTGGTTAATTTATGTCATGATTCCGCACATAAATTCCAAAGGAATTTTCCTATAAATTACTGGGGCTTTTCCCTGTCGCCCTGCTCTCTGTTTTTAGTTTCTATGTTTTTTTTTTTTAGTTAGCAGAGATGTCAACGATTTCGTTTTCTTTTCTTTAATTTCTCTGCTGCAACATCATTACGAAATGGGACGTTTTTCTTTGGGTTTTCCACGGTCTTGTTTTTCCGTATTCCCGGACTTTTTTGTCGAGGCACCTCCGAGAGTGGAGCCAACGATCCCCGTGACATCTCTCTAGAAAAAAATACTTTTTGGCATGCGCTGACACGGAGAAAACATTAAACCAGAATTGGTCGGGATCTTTGGAGTGGTATGGAGGAGGTCCCGGGGCTGCATCAATAAATTTAGATCATAACGCTGAGTGACAGTAATGTGTCATCAGCGGGTGGAAATAGTTTCTAACGAATTGGGGTGTGGGTGTGGGATTGGGGAGTGGGTGCGTGGGGAATTCTGTGGGTGTGTATTTCTGTTGAATCATTATTCATTCAAGTTGGTCTTTGCCGCCGAGGTGGCGCATTCATTTGATCTGATTTACATTGATTTTACGAGGGATATAGCTGGTCAGCCAAAAACATTCATTCTTTCTAAATATTTGTGAATGAAAATAAGGAATGGCAATTAATTATGGATTTTGAGGTGAAGACAAAATATTAATAAATAAAAGTAAATTTAATATTGAGATTCATAATATCATAAATTTATGCTTTTATATAATCAGAGCTTACCTCGCAGGTCATAGTGGTTCGTCACCTATCTGGACAGCCGATTATGATATACTTTTCTTAAAGAAGTAATCTTAAATACATACTTTGTTATATTTTCAAAAATTTACCTAGATCCACAGACAAGCTCCCACCAAAAGGTGTTTTATAATTTACCCCTTAATGTCTGAAACCTGAGATAGTAGTACTACATACTATGCCCCTGTTGCACCTGTTTCGGCTGTCCGACACCTAATGAAATCATCAACCTGTGGCCACACGATCCATCAAATTAAAGTCCCGAGCGAGACAGAAGCACAGGTGTTGAACAATTTTCCCCACACACTCGCCCATATATCAGATGTATGCAAATGAATCTGGCAAATGCCTTTGACTTATGCTGAGTCTCGTTTAAGCTTTTCGTTTCTACATCCATCCAGATCCAGTATATGCATGGACGTGCATGGACTCATACATACCTATGAGTTTCGCTCGTGTGCATAATTTAAAATAATGACGGCACATGAAACTTAATGCGTCTGCCCCGAAACAGATCGATCGAGTGGCAGGTGCCCCCTCTCTAAAGTCAAAGCTCGAACTCAAAGCCAAACCGAATGATGATGATGATGCTTGATGGCTGATGGTCGAATATAAACAACACGCACTGTGGTCACGCACCGCAAAATTTGAAGAAACAGGTGTCGCCGCGTGTCACTCTCACTTTTTCGCACCTGGGGAGCACCGATACTGGAGCCTGTACCCTACATACATAACAATTAGCTAACCAAACGAACTCCCAAAACTCCGAGGCACACACGCAATTATCGCATCCTTGCTGTCTCCTGTTCATATCTGTGATTTGTGATCTGTGATCACCGTTCGCTACCGGCCATATATGCATTTTTTGTCCACATTTTTTTTCACTTTTTTTGTCACTTTCCTTTTGCAATGCAAATTTCTCGTGCCGACTATTAATTGCTAATGGCAGTCAACAACCAAAAAAATAAAAAAAAACAAAAAAATTAAAGGAGAAATAACCGTTAAGACAAACGCCAAGGAGATACAAAAAAACAAAAAACCAGCCATAAAAATCGTCAACCAAATGCGGCAGGCAGCCTCTCTCCTGCCCACGATCTTGCCTCATTCACAGTGGGCAGCTACTGTGGCAGCTACACTTACGTAGATTAGGTGAAAAGTTTCTCTGGCGGGAAATGGCGGGAAAATCGGTGGGAAATGGGGGAAAATATCACCAAGGACGGTCAAGCCAGTCCTCTTGATTTTTATGTGCTTCTGAGTTATGAATATTAATAGCCATTTAACTTTAACTATTGGTGCGTTGATTTCTAGACATGCAGTATTTTTTATCACATGGACAGTTTTCTTTTTTCAAAGTGTTTTTTATACAGGGGTATTTCTGTTCATTGTAAATTTTATGAAAGCCTAAACATATGGACTTGGACTTTTCCTTAGATATTTGAAAGCCTTCTTTTGACAAAAAATATCTTTTAATAAGACTACTTTCAGGTCTGATGTCTTTCTTATTTCTTTTTTAATGTAAAAAAGTCTTCTAAAATTTATTAAATGATTTATAATCCTAAAAATATATACTTAAGGATCGTTTTTCTTTTTAAAATAATTTTTTCTCTACTGTATGTGATCTGACAGCCATAGTCCAGTCTAAACCATCGCTGATTGGATCCTGGGGCAACAAAAAATAAAACTTTCTTTGCATATCACCAACTCCCCGGCTCTCTGGCTCCATGACTCCACACCACCACCCCTCCTTGCTCCATGGAGACCCACAAAACACCCCCAATGTGGCCAAAACTACCTCTTTTTGGGGCTTATCACCGATCTTTAGACGTTGGCACGTTTCGTTCATTGCCTTGGTTGTAGCTGTGTAGTTTATTTTATTTTTTTTTTACTTTGCTGTTGACGTGTTGCCAAATGGCCATATTCAAGCTTTTATTGTGCTTCGTATTAGATTGCCATGGCCAATGCATAAATCTGTTATTGAATGCGAGCTCGAATTCGGAATCGGAATCCGATCAAGAGTATTTCCAAGAAAGCCACTGAAGGCCAAGAAAGAGAGAGACATGGCTCGAAGCAAGTTGGGTTAAGGCTTGAAATCTTTTAAGAATTCAGAAAAAAATTCAACTATTTTCTCACCTTTCCTAATTGATTTGAAGATTTCTTTTATATTAAATATCTATGCATATCCATTTATTATGTCAAGTTTTGTAAATAGTTGACTTTCCATCACCATAATTTAACATCATTTTGCTAAACCAGAATTCTTTCAAAAAAGGCCAACTCACGGGATCAAACACCATGTGAATTGTATGTGCTAATAGTTGTCTACTTACATAGTGTTTCTTCGTGGAAAGTTCCCTGGCCCCGGGGCGAGGTGAGTCACTAAGCCCCCAATACGACATGGTCCGGCTCTTAAAAGTCAACAGCATAAATCCAGGCATGAAAGCGATCGCCTATCGCCGCCCTTCTCGTCCTCAAGCCTTTCACTAGCCAGCAGTTCTCCTCCAGCATGGCCCCTTGTTCTAATAAGCCAAACAATAAATCATCATCGGGGCTTATATTTTTAGCAGATTTCTTTGCCAAAACTCTGCTGACTCACGATCCCCGAAGAGCTCGAGGGTCCAGGTCTCGGTCTCGGTTTCGGTCTCAGTCTCGGTATAGATTCCCATTCCCATACTCCATACCTTGACTGGAACGGCGCTTTGCTTTGTATCTTTCTCTCGGCATTTCTTGGCTTTTTTCCTGTTGTTCTGCTTAAACTAACAAATTCTGGCAGGGTCCAAAAAAAAACGCCAACCAATATCAGCTAGAAGGGGGACGGGGCCCAGGAACGAGGTGCCAGTGTTCGGAAACAGGCTTGGGCACATTGCTGGACATCACGCAAGGAGGCAGGAGGTAGAGTCCCATCGGTGGCAAAGCCATTCCTGGGGAGGGAGAAAGTCTCCACAAAGGGCGGCCAAGAATCTCCAAATCTGATTTGAGAGACTCCAATGCACTTAAAACAAAAATATGAAGATTCTTTAACAAATGAATAACTTAAAATATTTTATTTTTGAATAACTTCGTATGTAGAAAAAGTAAAAAAAGATTCGTTACTAAGCTTGGCCAAAAGATGTACCCTTAAAAGATGTACCTGGCCGATATTGTAGTATTACAATAGGCTGTGGCAGGAAACCGATAATTAAAATAAATGAAATAAAATAGAATTGAATAAAATATTAAAATAGGTAAATATTAAAATAGGAATGATAAACAAACACTTTTATATGTTATGGGTGGTCTATTATTTCCAAAGTTAATATATTTCATAACTTCCATATCCATATCCAAATCATAAATCATTTTTATTTACAATATGGAATATATATATTTTCCAATTTCAAAATATTTTATTTCTAAAAAAAAAAACAAACATATTACCATTTGGGAGCAATGCCAACTATAAGGCCACGTTATCCGAGTGTGTGTTTATGTGTGTGCCCTTCGAGCAGCTGCCAAGTTGTGGCAAAGACACACGAAATTCTGTTTCAAGTAGCAGAAAACAACGAAATTTGTTATATGACTTACATTAGTGGGTGCATGTATGCTGTTGACCCCTCAGGTCCCCGTAACTTTTTGCCGCATTTTGGGGGATACTGCTGCTGGTGGTGGTGCATTGTTTTTGGCAAACGGGCAGCAGGCAGCCGTCTATAAGCAGCAAGCAGCTAGCAACGGGCAACAGCTGAATTGACATTTCCTTTTACAACATCCAACAAGCTGCTCTGCAAAATGAAAACGATAAATCAGCAACTGCAACAACAGTAACAGTAACAAAGGGGAGCAGAGCGTTTCATGTGATTGTCACGCTTGAAGGACTTTTCTCCTTTCAGCCAAAAAAAAACAACCAAAGCGAAAATGAATTTGTTGCTTTTCTTGTTGGCCGCTGCTGTTAACAGTATTTGTTGCCTGCCGCCGCCACCGCCATCGCCATCGCGGCTATTGCCTTTTTTTATGAACTGGGTTACTATGTTTGTTGAGTAATTGAGTTTAGTTTTTTCGCACACGATTGTACCAGTATTGTTGTCCATTGTTGTTTTTTTTCTTGTCGATTAGGAAGCTGTCTCACATGCAACATATAGTTTGCCACAGTTTTTATTTGTTATTCCAAGCAGGCAGCAATCAGGCAGGAAGTGCGATTTCTTAAGAGGAGGAGGTATGGCTATAAGATGGCTATAGTATGGCTATAAGACAGAATGGCTATGAAATAGTCTTAAATATTTCTATAAAATATTTTTTAAGGTATAACCTCTACAATTGAAATGTATAAATTCCAAGGCCTCTCTGGTTGACCTCTTGGCTGCTTCCTTGTCCACTTCCCACTCCGTTTCGAGTGCCCACTCCCAGTGGCTTCCTTCTCTGCAGTCACGTTGCAGCTTCATCTTGCCACTCTGCCCCATTCCCCACTCCCCGCCGTCTGTCTGTTTGGTGATCTAATTACTGTATTTGCTGTCCGTTTTTGACTGCTGCCTCCTGTTTTTGTCCGCCAGCCTCTGGTCTTTCCAAAGCCTGTTTAAATTCGACGTGGTCCTCCATCACCTCCTCCTCTTAGCCAACAACTCCTCATCAGCTTTATGCCATCTAACCAGCTTCTACTGTCTATTGGTCTCGTTTTTCGTTTTGGTTTTTGGCGCATTTGCCTTTTAGTTTGGATATCCAAAAAAAAAAAAGACTCCAAACCATTTTAAACTAGTGACAAAAGTTTTATACCAAAATGTATTCAAGTATTGAAAAAGAAAGAATATAAATTTACATTAAAAAGCACAAATAATCTCTTAATTTAAATAACAATCTATAATACCTTTCTATATTTTTTCACACCTATTTGTTCAGAACATAATTTGACAAAAATCTATACAAATATTTGCATGTCCTTCTTTCGTCACTAGTAAAAACTTTTGTGTGGATTCCTTTAAAAGTCAACTAAATTTGGTTGGTACTTTTGGAAAGTTTTTTTGTTTTTGTTT